TTTTGCATTGACCCCCCCCCCCCCCAGGTATTCGAACTGATGTCTACCAATACACTTCAGGAATGGATCCAGAGGAATTTGTATTACTTGCAGTTCAACATTATTACATAATTCATGGCAAAGATGTTGAACCCGACAAAATGAAACAAGTGATACAAGATATTCTACCATCATCTTATATTATACCGCAAAGTGGCGATGGTAAAATAGTAACTAAAAAAGGTAAAGCTGCAATCAACGAAAAACAACTCGATAGTATGGTAGAACTTGCTGTTACAAAGGATGCTGACGTAAGTCGCGGAAAAGAAATGATTTTTTCTAAAAACAAAAAAAACTTTTCTACAGTTTAAACGCGTTATTAAACGACTCAAACAAAAATTTAAAGGACGCGATCAAGTAAAACGAGAAATTAAAAAAGATGTTATTTTATATGCTCAAAATAAATGGCCCATTACATTTTCACGTGTGTTCGAAATACAAATGCTTTCAGGTCCATTGGTTGATGAAATTCCATTTGGAAATATTTCTGTTGGACGAGATAAAATTCGTTTTTATGCTTCTGATACATTTATATTATTATCTGAACTTAACTATTCAGAAGTCACAGAAATTATTGGTGATCAGTGAGTATTCAAATAGATTATTGATGTAAATCTAACCTAAATTTTGTTTATCAGCGATCCAGTTTTGAATTATCATCATTATACTTTACAAACAGTCTACGGCGATTATACATTTACATTGCCAAGTAAAATAATCGATTCTATCTCGAGAATTTCGCTCGAACTCTGATTTTCATAATTAATAATTGTATCTTTTTTCTTTTGAAAATTTAGTGGGTGCTGATCTTGGAATTTTACTTAATCTTATTCACAAAAATTTGAAAGAAAAATCAACACTAGCTATCGCACAGAAAGATTATAAGCCTACAAGTAAACATTTGAAAATCAAATGATAAATAGATATTAAAATAGACGTGCAATTTTTTCAATAGAACGTGGTGGTGGTAAATTAGAATTACTTCGTGGTGATATTATTGTTCTTGATAGTGAAAGCAAAAATAATGTTGCAGCAGGCGTGATGACAGGTGTGAACGATCGAACAAACCGTGAAGGCGAATTTCCAGTCGATATTGTCTATATTATACCATGTACAAGTAAACCCGAATCAAAAGTTTTGGTAATGGAATATTTTTGTTGTCATGTTTTTTTTATTATAACTAATAATATTGACTAAAACTTTTAGCGCGGTCTTGTTTTACATGTTATGAAACGTGCAGTTGATTTGAATCAAGATATTGAACAACAAGATCACGTTAATTTGCATACATTGGAAGCTTATGCTCAGAAATACTTCCGCTCAAGAAAAACAACAGCTTGGTATTATGAAGCAACTGAAATCAAAGGACCATTATTGCATCGTTTTGATGGACAAGTTGAACTTTCAGCCAAAGCTGTATCAATGTTTCGTGCTATGATGGCATATGCCATGATGACACCAGTAGAAAGAAAAAAAATCACACAAAGCGATTTGGATAGCATTTTTGATTATGCATTCGAGAAAAATGTAAGTCATTATTTTTTGTTAGCGCGTATAGTCTAAACAATTTCGCTGGAATGAATGTTTTTTACTACTATGATTACTCATGGAGACCTAGATTTTGATAGCGACTATAAGAATACTCAATTGCCGGAGTGTTAGTCGAATTCAGATTAGGACGCGTCGACTTTAAAATGAGACGCCATTGATATACAGCCTTCGTTCGTACATCAACAAAATTAATCTGTTACAGTCTGTGATATTCTCACGGCTAAGTCATTCGTAGTCTATGATAAACCATCTCCATTATGTCTGGCATGTCTTATTTATTTGAATATTCCTCGTACTGCACAGAAAAATAATAAAGCTGGGTGCTTGATTTTTTGTTTTTTGATGAATTCTAGAAAGCATTGAAAGAAGAATTGTACTGTCAATTGGTAAAACAATTAACATTCTGTCCTGATTTGAAAATTGAAACACGCATATGGGAGTTACTTTGGCTTTTAACCGGTGTTCTTGTACCTGGAAAAATTCTTTTCCATCATGTTACACTGTTTCTTCGTTCAAGCTCAAATCCAGTCGCCTTAGAATGTTATAATCGTATTCAAAAAATTCAAAGGTACATAGATTTTTATTTTAGTTTTAAAATGTTTTCGAATTCGTTTAGACAAGGCGAACGTGCTCGCGGTCCACATGTGATTGAATGTAGCGCAAATGTTAACCGTGTCAAAATTCGTCAATATGTTTATTTTCCAAATGGTCTTGAACAAGATTTTGTTGTTGAATCAACAACAAAAGCAAGTGAATTAGTTTCGAATATATGTCGAGAGCTTAAATTTGTTCCATCATCAGCAAATGGACTTTCATTATATTTAGAATCAAACAAACAACGTAAGTGAAATTTCTTTATTTTTTCCGGTGCATTTTTTGTTTTTGTTTTATTTATTGTAGCAGTTAGCATTCCAAGTAATACATACTTTTTCGATTTTCTAACGCAACTTCGTGGCCATGACAAGAGTAAGAATTAATTGATTAATAGTGAATCGACTAAATATTTTTTATCGTATAGAAAAGCTTGATTATAAAATTCATTTTCGTCGTAAACTTTGGATTGATATTATACCTGGAGATGACAAACAAGCAGATTCTATCGTTCATTTCTATCAAGAAAAGGATAATTATATGTTAGGCTTACATAAATTAGAAGTCGAAGAGGCAGCTAATCTAGCTGCTTTATTGGGCAGAGCGGATCGTGGTAAAGGAGCACCTGAGTAAATCAATATTCAATTTCTTTGTATAGAAAATTTGTACGAGTAATTTTATAATGATTTAGAGCAAATTTGAGCAATTTTGTTCCAGCCTATTTGGTGAAAGCAACATCACAATCTGATTGGGCGAAGGTAATCAAAAATCCGGGCCTACTTTTAAGAGATATCATATTTGTGTTATTTATTAGAAAATTTACGCAGCCACAGGTAATCTTCGAGATGTGAATGAAGAAGAGGCGAAAGTCCGCTTTTTAAAACATGTTGCTGCTTGGTCAACTTATGGTACAACAATGTATCCAATTAAGGTAAATTCATCATGAAAGTTGAATATTAAATATGTTTCTAATAACACCCGGAAAAAAGTGAAGATAATCAGTAGTATCTGTCAGCCGTTGAAATATATCTTTTTCTTGACTCGAAATCAAATCAAAGGCAATTCATCATGAAATTTCAGAAGTCTCCTATCGTTTATTGGACATCGGCACGATTAGGAGTTAATTGTATCGATTCGTAATTTTTCATTAGCATGTTCAATGTTTCATTTAATCGTTCTTCTTTTACAGAACGACACTGAAAGTGAATTTCCTGAAAATATCTATATTTGTATTAATCAAAATGGTGTAGAAATTGTAGATGCAAATACCAAAGTAAGAATAGAATTCGATTATTTCTTTCAATCTGAACGAATACTTTTCTTTTCTTTTCTTCGAGGAGTCTTTGTCTAAATATCCGTATTATAATTTAAATTATAATTCCAATGCAATTTCAATCTTTCTCGAAGTACGCATGGGACGTTCATCGAAAAAGTATACATTCGATACTGAAATTGGTGATATTATTGGAGATTTAATTGATGACTATATGAAAATAGCCGAAAATGAAGGAAAACAAGATGACTAAACAATTCCTATTTAAGACTTAAACTCCTCTCGTTTTATCCTCATTCGACGTATCATTATTAACTAACAAAAACAAAAAATAATCTTTTTTCTTATGCACGCATTGAACTACACACATACCAATCAGTAAGGCTTTTCATAACTATTTGTTTTCCGTAAGTTCACTAGACAAAAAACTAACAAAAGAAATGAATGTCCCTCAAACATTTTTATTGATATACATATATATAGATATAAATAAAATAAGAATACCAACATACAGAAATGAACTTTTCAAAAGAAAAATAAACAACAATATACGTTTTATGACAATAAAAAAGGAAAGAGAGACATCAATCTATCTACTCTGAATCGAAAAACGATAAAAATAGAAAATTACAGTTTAGCTTTTTTATGTAATAAAATAAATGTAGTTAAAACGCGCAGTTAAAAACTATTTACAAACACATAAACACACACATGCGTGCAAATGAAAACGTCATTTTATAATATCACCATGAAATAGTTTTCTTTAAAATCATCAGAAATCGTACATAAATACACGTACTCATGTTTATATACGTTTTTGCACTGAATGAGAAAGAAACAAAACATCTAATAGCAACAGAGAAAAGAATGCGAAAGATTTTTTTTAGTTGAAATTAAACGATGAACAGTAGTGTGAGTGTTTGACAAGTTAAGAAGAACGAGAACAAACTACCTCATGCAATCTACATGGCTAAAAAAAGAGCAGCAGTAATACTCGACAAAAGAATTATAGCTGAAATATTATATGACACAAATGACAATAGTAACATCAAGGAAACCTCTTTCGAATGTTGAAATAACATTAAAAAGATAAAAGCGATGTTGCAAGTGTGTCAAAACGAATATTGATACAATATTTATGTCAATGGTGGTATAAACGATGTTTTCGGATGATTATATCGTCCGACTAAAATAAAATATTTTAGAAAAATGATTTGATGACTGCGAGAGATCTATTGCGTACATCGAGGGTCATAATTCTACGGCTCGAACCGGAATTAATTACTCTTTTCACAAGGATAACTTATCGTTCTGGACGTTTTCAATATTTTAACCAATCAGATGTAGACGAAATTTAATAGCCTTTTCAGTCCGCTTTTTATTTTTTGAAACAGTATGCTAATTGACTTAAGGCCTCAATTTCAATTTACACTTCGTATTTTCTCTTCCACCAAGAACAAAACGAGTACGTACGTCGAAATTCAGGATTGACCATAATTATTTTAAAATTGCGTCGACCACGAACTTGAGCAACAATTTGAATAGCATCAAAAAGACGAAGCATTGTTGGAAATCCATAATCGGCTGGATACAATAAATGACTGGAACCAGTTCGACGTTGATATTCAACAATGAAATCATCATAAGGCATGCGACCATCACATGAACCTAAAAGAAGTACCACATTGTAAGCAAAAACCATCGGTGGAGTTAAACGAATGGTTTGATCAGCGACCTAGTAGATAAAAATGTTTATGATAGAAATTGAACGAGCACAACAAAAGTTAACCTCGACATAATCGCGTAACTCGTTGCGACACATATTTAAAGTGATATCTTGTTTAAAACGAACGAGCATCTCTTGTTTCAATTGCCAAAATGATAATTGACATTTTGAAAGCATCAATGTAAGAACAATATTTTTTGTTAATTGCACTTGCACCGGATTGGCTTCTTTAATTGAAATAGAAACATCAATTTTTGTATAATGAAGCTAAAAATTAGAAAATCATGAAGAATATTGAACGAAAAATTAAGTTTTTCTTTGAGAACATACTTCAAATTTATCGGTTCTTGTACAAAGAAATGTTTCAAGATTACTTGAACCAAAATCTTCTGGATTAAGCTCATTTCGGTAAACTTGTAAATATTGCGTTCGTAGATCTTTAACTTTCAATGAACCATGAGACTTGCGAACAAGTTGCTCGATATTTAATACTATTCCCTTTTCCATCATAGTTGATGTTAATTGAACAATTTTCTCGCCATGTTTATCTTCATCAATCTAATAGAAATATTCAATAGCAGAAATGTTTCTAATTATTTCAAATATATATATATATATATATATGTATATTATACTTTGACAACATGAGAAAGTTCTTCGAGTAAATCAATTAAACGAGAAAAACCATATGTTTGAACTTTACATTGGTAGCCGAAATGATGACTGAAATAAATATATATATAGTTAATTTCATAGACGAACAATAACAGATGTTCTCTTCCTACTGATAGGATGGAATGAATTTTTGAAATGATATACTAAAATCTGGTAAAATACGGAGCATATCAATAACATCTTGTTCAAATTTGCTTGTTGCAAAAATTTCTAAATCAGTTCGTTCTAAATTTAAAAAATGAACTGATTCATTTTTCGTTTCTATCAGCTTTTGCTTACCTTTACGATAGAGCTTAATAATACCCTTCTCAGCATCGAGTACTAATTCTTTATTATCTTTTATTTCATTAACTAAATCTTCCAAATAGCACATACCGAAATCAGTTATACAAAATGATTTTTTATAAGCCATTTCTGAAATAATAAAAACAAAATTCTCGTTTGGTCACTAGAAAGTACTGCTGCATGTTTTCTTCATACCGTATTCAATCGGAATTTCGCTAATTGCCATTAATCGTTGTGGTTTATTTTTCAAAATACGAATAATATCATTAGTAAAACGTTTCATTTGACATCGATGACTAATTGTTATAATACGTTTATTTCCATCGCCAAGTATCTACGCAAAAACAAGAATTAGATTTTTCTTTTTATCTAAAAACGGCGTCGGATTACTTGAACTGATTTCGGTACAGCACATAAAAGATCAAGTATTTTCGAAAAACCATAATCAGCAACGCGACATTGCCGATTAAAATATTGATGATAAGCCGAAACAAATTTTGAAACAGGCAACCGGCAATGAGAACTTTGATGTTTAAGCAGATCAAGAACTTCACGTGAAAATTGTTGCAAACGTTGTTGAACCTCAGCACATGTATCAACATGCACTACAACAAATGGAAGCAATTGAAAATTATCTAACGAAAATTCGAACGTTTACTATTCGATGTATCAAATGGCGTTGGCGTAAACGATGGCCCTGTTGTTTGAGAAAATTGAACTTTTTTAATAAATCCTTGTCCAGTTAAGATTTGAATATCTTTGATGCCTAATATTTAAAAAAACACGTATAGCTGACTTTAATTAATTGAACCTATTGAAGAAACACTTACATGAAACATAATGTTCAAGTGGTACACCGTCTTTATGATCAATTAAAGGTTCGAAAGTAAAGGAATAGCATTGAGCAAAACTGAAAATAAGAATAGATTTAAAAGAAAAAACCTTCAATAAACAGTAGGATTTCATACCTAGCTAAAGGCATTGAACCGTTGTGTTGAGTTAATAATTGACGAATGTTATCAGCAAATGTTTTGAATGATATTTTAACAAAGGGTAAATCAAGATCAGAATTAATAATAAAATTTTTTGAACAATGAATTATACAAAATGGTTGTTCGAGTTGAGTCTACAATAGATGAAAAATTGAATAAACGTCAGTAAATACAACGTGACATACATGAATATGATTTTCATCGAAATGAGTACGAAATGCAGGCAATAGACGTGCAACTCGATTACCTCGATATTCCTGAATATCGATGACATGTTTCATTGTATATAATTCACTGACATGAAGAGGCTTTTGAAATCTAATAAAAAATTATTATTATTAAATTTTTGATTATGGAAAAATGCCACTCGTTGTTTTTACCGGCTTTGATATTCTTGAATTAGTGTAACAAGTACACAAGTATAATCTGTGTGTTCTTTGAGTAGAAGAGCAATTTCTACAGTTCGTCTAGAAGAATCAAACATGAAAACAACTATTCTTAATCAGAAAATAACTTGCTCAGCTGAATCGATTGCTGACGATGCTGAAGGTATTGCTTGTGTTGGTGGTGTTTCAAATGTTGAAGACGGAGCAAGGGTAGGTGCAGCACGTGTTCGTTTAACAGATGATGATACTCGATTGTATATATCAAGTGTATGCGATCGTACTGGTGTTGAAAATTCCAATTTCGGCGGCGGTGGTGGTGGTGGTGGTGGTTTACTATTAGTTAATGATCGACTAGCTGATATTAAAAAAAATAGATTAAAAAGTTAAAGAAAATTTCTCTTATTTTATTACAAATTCTTCGATTGCTAGCATCAGATAAAGGTCGTCTTATAGAACCGCTCGTAGGTGATTGCGGTTCAAGTTCACTCATGACTGAACGAGGTGTATAGATACCTGATTCATGCATCAATGAATTATTCCATTTCGATGGACTCGACATCCACCAATTTGATGTAATCGATTGCGTCAAACCTGATTCAACACAATAACTATCATTGAGCAAACTGCTTACTGTTTGTTTGTCAAAATCTGGTCCGAGACACCAGAGCACGCTCAAATCCATTTCAGCAGCAGCGCTTTTTAGCTGTTGTTGTTGTTGCTGTTGCTGTAAATAATCATGCGACCTAATTGAAGAATAAAAATTATTTCGAACTATGATTATTCGACTAACATTAAATACGACATTGTTTGGTATATGTTGTTGTGAACAGATAGAAAACAAGCCGACGTCAAGCAGCGTGTGTGCGTATATGTGTAGGATTCACATATATATATATATATATATATATCGATCTTCTTATACTAGGATGCATAATGGCCGACGATGTAAGACATAGAGAAAGAACGAACGAGATAGATTACTGATGACCATCTCTTTGCGTTTTCTTTTTTTGTTCATTCGGACGATAATACCTAGAGGTATTCGTGCAAACGAGTATATATGGTATGAAAACATCGATTCAGTGTTTAACATCATATATTGTACTACGATCGTTTTGGTCGAACGAAGGAATAGATTTGCCCTTCATCATTGTTCTAAAGCAAAGTTTGTCTGCGTTAATATATATAGCTAGTATGATATTTAAACCTTTGTTTCAGTTGATAAAAGAAAGAAACACTTAACGATCAAAATATTATTTTGAATATTCTTTCAAAATTACAAAAAAAAATGAAAGAAGAGAAAAGAAAGAAAGAGATAGAAGGTATTGAATGTCTCTTCAGAAGAAATAAATAGAATTACGTATAATTTTGGTAATAATTTGGACTTTCAACGCCGCCATCACTTGGTGAATCAACATCATTTGAGTTATTTAATTGACGCGACGAAGTTACATCGTGTCGTTTTTTATTTAATTTACGTTCTTTCGCACGACGATTTTGAAACCAAATTTTAATCTATATTCAAATTAGAAAAAGCAAAACATAATTTTGAAAATAAAATAAACAAATTATTTTATTTACTTGTCGTTCACTCAATGATAATGTCAATGATAGAGCTGATTTACGTGGAATTGAAATATATTTTGATATGATAAATTCATTTTCAAGTTCATATCGTTGTTGATCGGTATAAACGATACGATATTTGTCGCGTGTACGTGTTTTTCCTAACGGAGAAAGAAAATAGAAAATATTAAGTTTTATTCTTATTTTTGAGTTAGAAGCAATTTTTTTTTCTTTCATATGTGTGCATATGTCTTTGTCGAAACTCAATATTGGCCTTATCTTCCGTTTAACATCAATGCAGATATATCAACAATTGAAAGCCATAAAAAAAATCTATATACGTGTATTGCAGTACCATTTTATGGCACTCGACATTTTTTTTTTCTTACAAAAAAAATCAATCGAACAGACTGACTTATCAAAATACATTATTGTTGCCCATCGTATGTTTACACTCTGATCATGTTTAAGTGTAACACCAATGTGGAAGCGCGTGTTTCAATCAATGCCCTTTTCATATTCCTTTACTTTTAAAGGTCAATTGATTACCGTTCAATGGATTTTTTGGTGGTACTGAATTTAACTGTAGTGATGAAGATTCATGTTTAAGCCAATTTGATTGTTGAGGCGAATTTGATAATTCATCTTTAGATGTTTGCTCTTGACAATGAGTTCCAGTTTCAAAATATAGCGGTGGACTATAGGAAGACTCGAATTTAATGGGAATCGTTGGCTGTGATGTCCACTGTGGTTGTGATGGATCATAGAAATTATTTGTTGGATAAAATGGACATGGATTTGAATAATGCCGATAAGATGATGGATTTGGTGTTGGAGTTGGATGTAATGCTTGATAATTACCTGAGCCAAGCCATGTTGATGAATCATTGCATGTTTGCGGCGGAGTTGATGGTGTCGGTGGATAGAGATGCTGATGGATATGATGATGATGATGTGTGGCTGAAATTGTAGCTGATGCATTTAATTGTGATAACTGTACAGATGGAACAGGTACAAGTGTTTCTAATGTTGGATTTAAGGATTGCTGTGTTTGAGCTTGATCAATAGCTGCAATATTTTGATTAGCTAAAATATTATGTGTGTTAGTCGCTGGCCAATAATTGTAATCGAATGCTTCGATTTTCGATGGTATAGGTGTATAATCAGAATAGGAATTTGGATGTGTAGAATAATTATTGTAGGCTGCGTCAAAAATGCGCAAAGGTTCGCCCGATGAACCAGTTTCATGATCATTCGATATTAATGATGAATAGTTTATGTTATTGTTATTGTTCATATTCTAAAATAACAAATTGAATAATATAAATTTATTATTTTCTTACACCTGGAATATTCTCTTGTTTTATTTTAGGTAGTTCGTAAAACAAAACGAAAGAATTATTGCTTACTTGGTTGGTGATTATAGGTGTTGAAGATGATGTAATAAACGTCAATGATAATTTCACGGACAATCAATCGATGAATGTTTTTATTATTATTGTTCTAGTAATAAAATTAGTGCGTTTTGAATAGAGCTACTCCTTCGATTATGACTTTAGTCACATGTTATAATCATAAAATAAAAAGACTAGAAATTGTCTTCTTCAATGAAGAGATGGATGATGATGATGATAATTCGTATATATTCTAAAGAAGTAGACGTGTATACTACTGCACTTTTTTTTAGTTTTATGATTCAATGTTCGTATCAAATAACAAAATTTCTCTTTGCGATAAATCGTCAAGAGGAAAAGAGAGAGAGAGAGAGAGAGAGAAGGAGAGAGCAAGAGAAATAGAGAAACAGAACGAAAACGTAAAGGTAATCAATTTTCATTGGTTAAAGAGAGCAAAATATAATATTATTGGTTACTAATGAATTAGAAAGGAAGAAAGAATGTTTTGCTGTTAGGATAATTATTGATTTTAGTTATGACAACAAGTTTTCTATGAACGAGAAACTACAAGTCAAGTTTTAATAAAAAGAATAATTGTACAAAATTCGGTTGTGGATGTAAGTTCAAAAGAATGGCTTCTCTTGTTCCATGATTGGTCTATCTCTTCAAAATTTAGGCAGTGAGATGTAAAACATTTTTTCAAGATAAGACTATGTGAATGTTTGATACAGGTGCATCGAAGCTTTTTTTTTATCGAAGAAGGTTGAATATTGTCATAAACTTCACAGTAGAAATTTTCAATAGTTCTACAGATGAATGAGTGACCAGAACGATGTCGATATGTTCTTGCTGCTATTTGAGACATTGCTATTTACTCTTCGTTCTATCACGAGAGGTTAACAAGTATGAAGCAAATAGAGAATTAAAAACTAGCCACATAGATCATAGGTTTGATTTATTCAGTTTCATTAAAAAGTTAAAGAAGACAAAATTCTATCGGTAATAATTTTTCTTTTTTTTTCATAGCTGCAAATATTCTAGCAAATGGTTTGTTGATTCTATTTTTAAGTTAGAGATTATTCATATAGAAACAGAAAAAATGTTGCTCAACAATCTTGCAACAAAATTATCGGAATGAATACGATAAGCCTACGCAGTTTCTGTTCTGTTAGAATTTTGTTGCAGATTTTCCTTTCGACCTTTTAATCTGCGAGAACGAAAAAAGTTTCCAACGAAAATATACACACGACGACATTGTCGGTACTCTCAAAAACTAGGCCAATTCTTACGATATTCTTCTTATAGCTGTAGACGATACTATTCTATAGAAAAAAAATTAATCGCATTTGTATTTGAGAACGTTTGCATCGAATCAAATAATTATAGAAAAACATTATCTTTTTTTTTATTTTCTCAAGTGGATCTCATATTGATTAATTCCGATGGATGTTCAATCAAAGTATACTTGAAAAGATAAGCATTCTTTTATGCTATTTAATTACATCTTCCATCCGCTTTTTTCTTCTTCTATTACCTATACCTCTTACCTTCTGTTTCAGTATTATTAGTCTGCTGTTTTGATTTTTGTCTATCTATCGAAAACAGGCAATCTGTGTGTGAGAAAAAGAAAACGAATCGTCATCTGATGATCTTATTAGAACATTCAATTTTGATACATTGTAGTCCAATTATGAATCAATTCGTTGTCCTGATTTGTATGGAAAAAAACAACAGCCAGCTCCTTGATTGGTATTATATTGATAGCTTGAGCTTGTTGTCACTTCAGTGGTGGGCAGGATTTGACTTCTCCACCTTATTTCTTTTGGCATCACACCTACGTGCGACCAATCACATGAATTTATTCTGTATTCATTCTAATTGATTCGATGTCTTGTCTCAATTAGCATACGATATATGTAAAAAGTCAAACTGTGCATAAAATTGATACCATTCATATTTAATGGAGTTAAAGCAAATATATTTATACTTGTCTTAATGTCACTTTTGGAAATATTATGAATAGAAAGTTTATTTTCAGATATGATGAATATACAGACAACAAAAAGAAAGAAAGAAAGAAAGAAAGAACGAGTGTTATAGTCAGTATGAATATCACAGATACAAAAAAAATGCAAATAATACATGGAATAACGACTGGTTCGATGGAATATGTAAAGCAGCGTTAACGAAAGAAATAGGAGAGAAAAATGCATTTAGATAGCACGTGTGGAACTTTGGAATTCAATTGAAACAAAACAGACAATCAACAAAACAATGTTTCATGCATTAGAGATTAGTAATTATCTAGCACCGAAACAAACAAAAAAATAATTAATAGCCATGCAGACAAAACTAATTTCATAGCCGTACGTGTTTTTTTTTGTCTATTTATCGTTTTTTTTTCAAGTTTTCTAATCTGTTACTTTTAAATAGTTTACGGAAAAAAACTTTAGCTTGCAATTCAGCATTTTGTAATTGCAAAACAAGTTCGTCGACTATGTCTGAAGGATAGAAATAATTAGTTATGAAGAAAACAAGAATGAATAGGCATGAATTGACGGATTAAAATATTACAGATTCTGAGGCAATATCCATTGTTTGTTGAAATGATGGATCATGCGTACCTGTTGGTGGTAATATTTCTGATGAGTAAGAATAGTAGATTGGATTAAAATGATTGAGTTGCTCATCAGATAAAGCATGAAGTGAACCACTTCTATCATCGTCATCGTCTGTCGTCTGTGATACTCGTGATGCTAAGTTTGGTAATTTTTCTGGAGCACTATTAACTAATGTGTTCTTCTCGTAATCTGATTTCGTTACAATAGTTGCACGTGGTGCTTCTTTTGAATAAAGAATAAATTGATCATTAATATCATCTTCTGGTCGATTTATTGGTTCATGAAGTGTTGGGAAACCTTCATCCGTGGCGTTAGTAAATATGCCAGGTGGTAAAGTTTCTGTACGGAGTAAACAAGAACGAAGTACATCATCGGAGTAATTTCTTCGTATGGGTGCTGTTGGATTGCTCATTGGTAATGGAAGTGGTGTTGATGGCAATTCTTTCTGAAACACACGAAAGGATAAAAGATTATAGTTATTATGTTGTTTATTTTCGGAAATAAAAAAATGATATCGTTATTGTGAAAGCTATTTTTTACATTTGAGATTTGTTGTCCAAGATCTTTGTTTGATTTCTTTTGACTCCGTTGTTCATGAATTTCATTACTGATATGTTCGAGATTTCTCAATGATTCTTGATATTGACGTTTAGCTTCACTAACACAACGTTCAAGACCATAGACTTTACGTTTTTGAAACTAAATTAAATAGACATATTTTGCTACCATCAAATTAATTTTTCAGTAGTTAATCTTCATTAAAACTAACGAGTAGTACGAAAGTTCTGCAGTAATGTTGTTGTTGTTGTTGTTATGGCACTTTAATAGAATGCCGTAGGGATTAATCTTTTGCTTTTCTTAGAAAGAGCAACGGTTCTAGTAGAAAAATATTGATTAAAAATGTTTTGTCAGAGGTCACAAAAAACGGAAAGAACAAAAAAAACATAGAAAAATGCTTCCACACCTTTGATCTTATTTGAAATTCTTCATCTTCATGTAGTGTTTTTGATAGTGGCATTTTTATATATATATAGTTATTTATTACAAAGAAGGTTCTCATATGGTATTAAAATAATTCACCTAGCATAAACAGACAAGGATATCATTAGAAAATTTAATTTTTGTCAATATCTCTGTCCGAACAGAATTTATTTGCCCAATTGTGGCTGAGAGCGATGAAGAATGCAGATATAATGATATCGTTCATTCCAACCTTTATAAAAAAAATGTGAAAGCTTCTGTTTTTTGTGCTGCAAGATTGAACTACCCCTAATGTTGAAGTCTTGAATTAGAAGACTGAAAATAAGAATGGTCAGATTAAATGAAATATTCATTTGTATATTTTTACACTAGACACTGATCGTTCTAACAAAAAAAGATTAATATCTACGACATTCCCGCATGACTAGTTCATATCAATAATAAAGTTATTGCAGAACTTTGGCGCCATCCGTTAGCAACATTCGGTTACATTAACAATACTCCATACGAATAAGCCTTGAAACTGTAAAATGGTCTCAGCTTGACTTACGTCTAATTCTTGATGATGTTCTACTCTCATTTCATAATAAGGTCTAGAAAAAGAACATGATCTGTTTTCTTTTGTTTCTATATGAAAAATTCCATACTTCGATTTATTAATTGATCGTCGCAAATCCTTTTGTAGTTTTTCAACTAATTTTTCTGTTTCAGAAAAAATTCTTTGAGCAACTTGCTGATCAAAATCAGCTTGATACTTTTCTGTTTCCGCATCCTGCGCCTAAAAATAAACTAATTTTATTTCGATTTCCATTCACGTCCGTTAAACAAACTTTTGCTAAAGCTTGATGATAGGTTTCATTCCATGCTGCTGCATTTTGATGTGACCTTTCCGCTTCATCAATAAAATCAGCCTACAAAGTAGATTGCGTGAAATAAAACAATTCTATTATTTACTACCGAGACTATAGCTAATTCTTTTGCGGCTACATGTAATTCTTGAGCACGTTCAAATCTATGTTTAGCTTTAATCAAGATTTCTTTAGCATCTCGAAGTTTAATTCGAGCTTCATAATAGCACCGTGATTTAGGTACAGCATCACCAATACTTTTTTCTAATTGAATTAATTCGTCTTCTGCTTTCTGTCTAAAGTTGTCGAATGTTTTACGTGCTTCCTACATGAGTAAATGAGAAATAGAAGAAGAACAAAAACTAGTTTTAGCATTGAAATTACATCACGTTGAAGTTCTAATTGATTGATGGCTTCATTAGCATGATTTAGTCGTTCTAATTCAATCTGAATTATATTTAAAAAAGCATTATTCAATTAAAAAGAAAAAGATATCAAGAAAATTTAAAGTAACCAACTTGAACTCGAGGATCGAGTGCGTCGCCGTCTTCAGCTTTTGAACTTAATTCAATTATGGATTCACTTGGAGTATCTGGAAAATGATCCATACATAATCTATAAGAAAAAAAATAAGAAACAAGAAACATATTGAAATTTGATATGTATTCTATATGCAAAAGTATACAACAAACAAGTAAAGAAAAAGAAAAAATAACATGATTAAGAACTAATTAATTAATTTAACCAAATCGTTCATTTGCTCATTGAATTTGTCTTGTTCATTATTTGAAAAAACGAATGACCATCGAACATTTTTATCTAGCTGAGATTCTAGTTCAGGATTGTCAATATCGGCGTGAGAATTCCAACCGCGTTTTTCTCGTACATCATTCGATGCTTCAATACGAACAATTAGAACGTGATCATTAAAGTGGTTTTTAAAAAATTCAATTTCTGCGTAGGATTTAATATCACTTATAATCCATATTGGATTTAGTGAATATAATTCATCATAGCGTTCAATCATCATTCGACAAAATATTGTTGGATCTTCACGACATTTTTCTTCTGCCCATCTAAAACAATAAATCTTTTAATCAAAAAAAAAGGACACAATTAACATACTTAATCATATTTTTTTTATCGGTATCACACGAATCCTTAGTCTGTATTTTTTCATACTCATGTTTCAATGAATCATTAATATGCAATAGTGACGCGGAAAGTCGTTCTGCTAAATTTTTACCAATGAAATTTCTTCCGCATTTAGATTTACCAGAAAGAAGGATTATTTTTTTTATATGTGAATACTTCGACACATTGAATACACTTGGCCTAGAATTAATTAGAAAAAATCTTAAAAGCTAAAACAGTTTTGAAAAATACTTTTCATCGAAATTCAAGTTTAATTTGCCCAAAATATATTTCATAACATGATCACATCGCTCATGAATAATTAGGTCAGCTAATGAGTCTAACGAAGTTTTTTGTAAATTAATAATTACTATCTTTCCACCATTTTTTCTCGTTTTTCTTGGTAAATCACGGCAAGGACGAATTTGTAATGATGTACCCAAACATATGCATAAATCTGCTTTACTATAGAAAGAGAAAAAACCAGAGTTTCATGCAATTAAGATTCGTAAGAGTTCACTTACGCACAATGCTGTTCTGACATATTCAATGCTAATTCTGGTAATGGATCTTCCCAATCGAGAATTGTATCGCGTAATTTTCCGCGACATGATAAACTTTTATTTCGACTTTTCAATGAATTACAAACATTACCCGTTCGTTTACGACAATAAGAACCAACACTTTTTGGATGGATTACCTAAAGTAAGCATAATACAAGATATTACTATGATCCAGAAATTAAATTGGCAATGACTTTAGTATTTGCTGTGCATGAGGCAAAATAGTTTCTCGTAGTGAGGCTCTTTTATAGTAGAGCCATTTGAAAACGTTCTCTAAATATGATCAAAGCTACCGAAACCATTGAAGAGTGACATCAAATTGTCAAGACGCTTTTTTCTCACGAATGGATCTCTTTTCTTTTCTACGAATACTGTACTCGCTTTAAGCATTCGTGCAAAGAAAAACGAATATTTACTCAAGAATAAAAGGAAGTGATACGATTTTCATTCGTTTTTAGTCTTATTACAATCGGAGAAAAGACCCAATTGATTTTACTAAATGAATAATATTATTTTTGGCACTCCATAATTAAGATATGAATAGAAAAATAGGAAGGAATTTTTCAAAAAGCGATAAATCCAGTCTACAATCAAACTTAGTTTATATATTTTCTAGTATAGAAATTAAAAAGCCCACCTGCGACGATCATTAAACTATAACCAATAAATCGATTCACATTTCGATTTTTCATCGCTTCATAATATAAAAATCGTAAGTAATCAAATCACAAACCTGTGCTCGGCAAACTTCACATTCTTCCGCAAAAACATTTCCATGTAATTCCGCTAATTTACCTAATGGTAATCCAGATCGATGGTGAAGACCATCAATATTTTGACTAATAACAAAGTGTAAATAATTATTTTCTTCTAATTTACATAAGGCTCGATGTGTAAATGTTGGTAGAGCTTTATCAAAACTTGTATTAAATGATGGTTTTTCACCTCGTTTTTCCAATGTCCATACACCTAAAATGAAGTTTTTAAATAAAAACTTTCAGTGACTTGTTTCGAGATTTACTAACCATTGGGACCTCGGAAATCTGGAATACCAGCATCGGTTGATATACCAGCTCCCGTAATAGCAACAGTATGACGACTTTGACGAATCATCTGTTCTAATTTTTCTAATTTAACTAGATAGAAAAACAAAATAATCGAATAAGAAGAAATTTATTCCAAGTCGTTTTTACTTTTCAAATCATCGGACTTTTCACTTAATTCAGGCATTCCAACTTTGCCCTTATGAGGAAAATAAGATAGACTTTCAGCATAGGACAAACTCATTCTTCTAATAACTGTATTCTAAAACGAACTATTTAATCAATAATGAATCAATCGATTCATCTATCATATGAACATATGATGCATAGTATAATATTTTCCTGCTGGTGGACAAATAAATAAAATGACAAAAACAACGCAGAGATGTCGCTGTGAACAAGACACATTTGTAGTTAAGCATATAGATTCAAAATAGGTAACTTCAATGAAAGCTTAAAAATGATCGAAATAAATGAAATTTTCATCGGAAAAATAGTGTAGTGCTTTCAAAGTTCTCTATAGCTGTCATCTATTTAGATTTCAACAGTTGGAATCAATCTATCTTAAAATTAGGTAACCGGACCGGATACATAAAACACCGCGTTTACACCTCAGACGTTTTTTGATAAAATAGTTTATCATTTTGATTTTTGAAGATCCCACTGTCTATATAAAAGTAGATAGTGCGCTCTGATTCAAAGCATCGCCGGCGTTCTTCAAGTCGATACTCTATCGTTCATTCAAATTTCGTAAAATCATAATCCTTAAAACGGTAGAGTAAGAAATTCAACTTTGTTAAAATCCTGTAGTGTATCGCCTGAAAATCGATTGTTTCCTTATACATTGTAAATTACAAGTTAATGATCTGGTGATACGTAAATGCTTATCCGTGAAAAGCATTCATCTCTTCAGTCGGTGCTATGACAGAGTAGCTATGTAATTCCATGCAAGTCCACACTAGTGCCGTTAGATTGACTTTCTGTTCAGCTTTTCTGCCCTTTATCTTCAAACTTCTGGAACACTAACAATCAGCATCAAAGTTAAATATCTCATGACTTGTCAAGGATTTTTGTGAATGATTTCTCGAAAATAAAAAGAACTTGTTGTATACAGATTAATGTATTGTTATTATTTCCTAAGTTATATTTTTCTTTTTAATTAACATAATCAACAAGACAAAAATAGAAGTTCACACAGATAATAATATACACAGAGACAGACAAGTAAAAAGCATTCACAGAGAAAAAACAACAACAACAACAGCAACAAAAACATAGTCCGACCCTAACAATAAATAACGAGGGACAATATATAGATAAGATACACATATATATAGTGAAAAAAAGACGAAAAAGTGGTGCGATAACTGTATGAATTCTGTAACCGAATGCTTTCCTTTTCTTAAATAACATTCGACTAAAAAAAGAAGTAAATATCGGACAAATTGTACAAGCAAAAAGAAAACAAAAACAAAAAAAACACAATGCTTAAGAAGAGACAAAAAATTGCCTGCCATTTTCTTATATATTATAATTATTTAATGAAGAACAAGAAAGATAACGTCGAGCTTGTTCAGTCATATGACGTTGATCACGCGTTTGACCCATTAAAATTTCTGTATAAGTTGGATCATACTACATCAACAAGTAAAATATTATAAAAACAATTGCTTAGTTTTTATGTTATACTTACTCCTAATTCTTCTTTGAGTTTTTTTGATGAAGTAAATAAATTCTTTGAAAAATTCTCTCGTTTCTTAGTTTCAACGACGGTTGATTGATATTTATCTAATCGTTTATTTCTTCGTACAATAGTTGGTCGCGCAGATAAAATATTTTCAGTTTGAGTTGTTGTTTGTGGATCAGGATATGCGAGAAAATCACTAAAGAGTTAAAAATTCAAATATTAAACCTATAATAAGATAGATGCAACAATCAGAAAGTTCTATTCAGAATTCTTCTCTCAGCACATGAAATACACGAGAAAATAATCCATATTTTTTGTTGCGTCATTCAAAAGCGGCGAAACGTTGAGATAAAAAACAGCAATGAGCAATAAACTTTTAGTCTAACACTAAACAATAGGGACTGAATGTTTTTAAATATTTCAGTAAAATATCTGTATGTATCTTGCTGCTAATTACTGACAAAATCGATTTCCTTTCTTCTATTGAACAAATAAATAGACTTACTTGAACCAATCTTGCTCTGTCAAATGAATTTGATGTGGCTTTAAGAAAAAGTACATAAACAAATTTAAGATTGAATAAGAAATAAAAGACTTTACTTGATCTAAACGTTCAGGAGTATTCAGTACACAATGTTTTGATGGTGACGATGTATTTGAAATAGTTTTAGGTGAAACAACAATATCATGACTTTGTTGAGATTGTGTAAGTTCAATTAAGAGATGTTCGTTTTCTTGTTTAATTTCATTTTGAGAACTAAAACTAAGCGTAAATGAATCATCGGTTGTAAATGTATTTCGAGTTTCATTATGATTGGTAGTATCAGCTGGTAGAATAGTTAAATGCGGCGATGTTGCACATGTAAATACAGGCATTGATGATGATCGAGATGGTGGATGAACTGGATAATACTCAATAGACGACGGAAACAATGGTATATGATGATTGGTTTGAGAATTTTGACTTGATGTTGTATAATCAGCACAAGAGGATAACATAGGTAATTGTTTAACAGGAGACGGTGGCGTGCAATAGAATAGATGTTCAAGATTTTGTGATGAACATTCCGGTTGAATATCAGATGATGTTTGAGAAGATGAAATAGGCTATACGAATAAAAGATGTTAAAGAGACATTTCGAAAGAGTTACTAGTAAACAATTTGATGGAATTGGGCTTGGAATTTTTTACATTTTAAACTCAAGAAAGAATATCGAATTCAGAAAAAGCGTATAGTCATGAATAGAGATTTGATTATCGCATGTTTTAAGCTATTGCTTTTACCTGCAAATGATCGGAATAAGCTGTTGTCAGATGACGTGGAGACAAGGCATTCAAACTATTGTGATCAGTTAATGGATAGAAACGATGATTAGTATTATCATTGTTCACACTTGGTGAATGAGGTTCAGATTTAACGGGCGGTGCCGGTGAAGCTGATAACGTAATTGTTCTGGAAGATCGTTTTGTACTCGAACGTTGTACTCGATTTGTTATTGTACCCAGTGGCCGTCGAACTGAAGAGGGCCTATTAAGTTTCGGCCATGGGAAATCCGGTGGAATCCTAAAAAATAATTATTCAGAAGTAAAAATATTAATTATTAATATTCTTACAATGCACTCCACTCAAGTCCTTGTCTTTTCAAATTTGATACTTCTAATTCAAATTTTTTCTTCATTGAAGAATTCCAATGATTTTTAATTGAATTATCTGATCTTCCATTAAAATATTTAGCGATTTCTGCCCATTTATTTCCAAAGTGTTGATGTAAAATAAATAGCAGTAGATTTTCATCATTAGTCCATGGGTTTTTATTAATAGCTGGATTGAGATGATTATGCCATCTAGAATATTTTGAAAGGAAAAAAAAATGAGAAAGCTAAATTCTTTTTTTCGAACCTTTCACGGCATTGTTTCCCCACTCGGCCTTTCAATTCTTTTGCAATTAAACTCCATTGTCTTGCACCATAATCTCGTACAAGTTCAATCACTTTCTTATCTTCTTCATCGGTCCATGGGCCTTTTGTTATTGACGGATCGAGAAAACGTTCCCAACGATGTTGACATTGAGCATCCGTACGACCATTGCCTACATATTTTGATATCCGTGACCAATCTTTCATACCACCATTTAAATTAATAAATTCTTTCAAACGGTCATCCTAAATAAAAAAAAATCACAATAAGAAAAAAAAAATGACTGAAGCTTCTATTACTTCATCTTTGATCCATTTTTTATAAGACTTTTTTCGAGATGACACTTTTTTAACTTGAAATAAATTTTCATCGTGGTCAGATTCATCTTCAGTTGAACTACTTCGACTAGAGCTTGCTCTAAAACAAAAGAATTTAATTACGAATAAAATAGTTCACATAAAACCTACCGATTCTTTATCATTCTAATAATAAAATTCTTTTCATCTAAAATAAAGCATCAAATCAATAAACACCAATCTTCGCACAAATATGATACAATGAACATTCGAAATATGCGTATGCATTCCATCCGTCCGTTTTGTCTTCTTTTCTCGTCAGCTTTGCATGTGGAAAATTGAACAATGAATGTACGCACATATATGCGCGTTCCTTTGCATGAACAACAGAACGCACGTATGATTCGACAAAAGAAATGAAATCAAGGACATCGACAATCAAACATTTGAACGATGGAGAAAAGAAAAGAATATGGACATGCTAAATGAATGTGTGAAAAAAAGAGAATACGACGCAGTGCGTATTGCTATCTCATGCTGAGCGTGAATGAAGCAGGTGGCTTAGTTCTCTCTCTTTTTTGTTTTGGAAAGCATCTGTTCTACCTGTTTGATGTTTTTTTTGTTCAAGTAGTAATTTGATTAAGAAAGCTATTTATTTAAATAAAAAGAAGAAGAAGATGGAAAATCATTCGATAAAAAGAACTGTTAGATAATAAAAAAAACATAGAAAGGATTGTTCATGACATGATGGTATTGATTATCGTGCGCAAAAGATCAGTATAATTGAATTGACCAAGTAATTTTTTGTCATATTTCGAGAAGAGTTGATAGAAATCTTCTTCAGATTTATTCAAATGGATGTCATTGTCTTGAAATAACGAATAAAATTCATCATGTGTCAAATAGCCTAGAACAGATTAATAGATTAGCGACCCCTATAGAACAAGAAACTTAGCAAAGTTTTGTATCAACAAGGATTGTTTAATTAAACATTTGAATAACGATCACAGAGCTTCGTCTCACTTGTTACTCATTCTCGAAACAGTGCGAAAAGTAAGTATCTAATCGTTTGCCTACAGGAGAAATATGCCATATAATTATCATATCTATAACGCTAACAATTAGAACGAGAGATATAAATCATATGGCAGAGAATTTTTTTTTCGCCTCACGAATGAAATGTTCCATGAAAAAAGCAATATCGTAATTGAAATGTACACTCGAGCTGTTGTTTTGAATAAAATTATACAGATACAATTAATGAATGCTGAGCATAGACACGAGCAACATGATAAATAGCTATGCATGAAAACATAGAGAAGACCAACATTCGTACCTTCTATTGTTCCGCGATTATCCCATTTATATTGATGAAAAATGCGCCTTAATGTATAAAAATAAATGTCTTCTCTTAACATCTCAAAAAATATTCATAGCTCTATTGATAAAATTAGATAGTTTGACTTCGAAATTGACCAAGTTTCTTCTGTTTCTATTCTAATTACTAAACCTATAAGACTGTCTAACCGTATACTATACCTTTGCGTGGTTTATCATATGAATGAATTAATCGAATAAGGCATTTCAAATCGCGTGGACTCTAAAATGAAATGCAGCTGACTTTCATAATGCGAATCGGTTGCAAAATTAGATGGTACTGTTTATTCTATACTCACAAGTGCTTTTGAATGCGTTACGTGTAAGCGTTGAGGTTATTGATGATGATGATGGTTTCTTGAGAGCAACTTAGCAAAGGCAAGTGAAAAGATATTATACACACATACACTCCACATGAAAAGTTAAAAATTTGAATAAGGAGAAAAGCATAGAAGTGATATTAATGTAATATTTCGTGTTGAAAACAGATAGTATACTATAAGACGGACCTGTGTTCGTTGATCATACACTTCTTTACTTGGATGCTATAGAATAGAGTAAACAATAGAATACAATTCTTTAGTTTTCTTAACAGTACTTTCGAGTGTAATTTTTGAATTAATTGCTCATAGGCCGGATGAACACGTGACCATGGACTCTGAAACACATAATGAAATAGACACAACTAAATCTTATAGATTACAATTACGCTTTTCATAAGAGGTCCATCAGGATGATATTTTCGTATAAAAAATGGATATTGAATATTTGATCCATTGTGTGGATTATCAAGACGAACGAGTAGACCTAGTTCTTCATCATTGATTGGAACAGAATAATGTTGCAAAATATTCTATAAAACAAATGATTTAATATCGATGGTTAATATTGATGAATGTATTTTACTTGTATTGTTAAAAAATCGATTAAACCACTTGCTGTTGGATCCTTTTGAAGTAGATCTCGTTTTATCTTATTGTAATTTTGACGGATCTAAAATACAAGATTTTTCTTAAATAACATCGTATTTACAAAAAAAAATGAAATCCTCTTTCACTCGCACAGAAATATTTCAAATCTTTTGTCAAATAACTGTAACTGAAATATGGGAAAAACATACATTTTTCTTATTTTCGTTATGTGAAATCTCCACACACTGGACAAGTTATTGCTGATATCTTACATATGGAAGAATACGATTAAAAGTTTCATGATAATCTGTTGATTGAGCGTCGCTCGATAAGCTACTGATTCTTGCTGACGATGAAATAGCTCGTGATGATATTGATACTGCTGATCTTGCGGTTGATGGCATCTGACGATCATGTATTGATCGAGACCGATGTACTAAAACTACAGAAAAAAAAGTCGAAAGTTCTGATGAAGTTATCTATTTGTCAGACATCGATTCAGCATCATTTGACTGTCTTCTCGATTGAACATAGTCATTTGCCGAATTAAATTTGGAAACGGTACACTTTTTTCCAATGGAAAATCACTTGCTGACCAAACTACATCGACTTCAGCTTGTGTTAAATCTGTCCCCATTCTATCGAAGAAATAGAAAAGCTTGAACGATTAAACAAAATAGTTTTTCTGCTGGACTTTTACTGTTCAAGAACTTCAAGAAATTGTTCTTTGTTAATTTTATCTGTTCGTGGTTGATCAATACGAGAAAATACTTTTGTAAATGTATGCATACGAAGACGAATTAGATCATTTAATGTTTTTTCAATCTAAATTTAGAAAAATAAAAATATAATTGACACATATACCATTTTAATTTACATAAGATGATGTCCTTATTGGTGCTAAATCAGTTTTTTCGACTTTTTTTTGAATAATTCTTTCTTCTTTTTGCTCATTAAATTTTTCTTCTTTTTTTTCAATAAATTTTTCCTGTTTTTTTTCAATATTTCGTTCTTTACCATGTGGTATAGTCCTACGAAAAAAAAACAAGAAACTATAATCAATCGAAAAAATAGATAAAATAAAAACTAACGTTTTACTAAGAAAATATAATAAGCGTTTGTACGGTAATTGTTGTTTGTGTTTCATATGATCAGTACAATTTAATAGAGTATAAAGTTCATTTTTTTGTTTATCCGTAAATCGATAACTATCAGCAATACCAAGTTCTTTTTTCAATATAAGAAATAGTTCATGTTCTGGACATAAATCTTCAATATCATTTGAAATATATCTTCAAAAAAAAAATGGAAAGAAACGTTTTCTATGCAAAATAAATTTCAGAAGAACAAACTTAAATGCAGCTGTTAGCGAAAGGAAAACATGATGTAATAAATCAATAACACCATTTTCAATATTGCTGAATTCTGATTTCGTTGGAATTGCTCTTTAATTCAGAAAAAAAAACAAATATGGAAATCATTGAAAATATATTTATTTTTTCCTTTACTTTTCTTTCCGGAATATATTTAGAGTTTGAGCAAGAAAACTTGCATCAGAACGATCTTGAAAATATTTCAAAAATGCACTATAATCAATTACATTTTCACCATTTATAGTCTTCAATATGGTGTGACGATGTCTGCAAAGAAGTATTTTCTCTTTATAAAGAATAAGAATTTCTTTGAAAAAATGTACTTTCGTAAAAATGAATCGATATTTTCAAGTGTAATTGGAATATCAAATTGATTGAGTGCAGCAATAAATTGTTCTTTGTTGATGTAATTTGTTTGATTTGAATCCAAATAGGCAAATACGGTTTTTAAACAAAAATAGCCTTCATTTACCTAGAAATTCACAGTTTATTTTAGTTGATATTCCATTGGCGAAACAAACGGATTTTTAAGTATTTTCACTATGCGTTATGTCCATGAGAGAAAATAAAAGAAAAGCTATTTAAGATTGTAGGATTTTTCAAGGATACACCTTGATTAACTGACATAAAATCGATTTAAAACGCCGGCGTAATTCTTTCTAGTAGAAAGCGATGTCAATTGTAGACACAATGATGGCCACTTTCCAAAGAGTCATGTGGCTCGTAAAATTAAATGGCAGATTATCGAATTGCTGTTCAAATCTCGAAAGAAAAATTTCCGAAAGAAAAAATCTCGAAAAAAAAAATCTCGAAATAATTAATTCTTTCAAGATTTTTGATTTCGTAACGGAGAATTTTCGAGATATAAACTTTTCGAATTTAAATTTTTCGAGATTTTTGTTTTTCGAGATTTGGACACAAGACCAGATTATCGATCTTGAAATGACCTATTCGCATTCAAATTTCATAGAAATTCTCTAGGAAAACCTATATAGGATTGATTATGAGCAACGGTTTATTATAGACATAGAAAAAAATGCTGATAATTTGAATTTCAATTAGCTTCCTTTTTTTTTATCGAGATTGAATTTTGTGTGTCTCTTCATAATCCTGTCAACCAATAGTAGCATTTACACGAGCAAGTAGACCAAACAATCTATGTATTTTAAATGAAAATTATTAACAGCCACTTCAATCCAATCAAAACAATATTTTTGTGTACATAAGAACGTCTGTTAAGAAATAAGATCGGATATATGTGCTCTTAATGCTCTTTGTACACTCGTAAATCAATTTTAGTCTCAAATAACCGATGCTAATATTGAGAGCACGATGAATAATAGATGTCTGAATGTTCCAGGTATTGCGTTCAGGTCTCAAAATATAGAATTTCAAATTGATCTCACAATATAAGGAATACTTATTATGACAGATTTTTACTTTTCAAGGTTTCTTTTTAAATCCACAAAAACAAAGAAAAACGATTGTATGAAGTGGTATGTTTCTTTTTGCATTTTAAACTAAGTTTGAGCTATAAGAAATCTCAAACGGACGAAATACAAAGAGAACCGATGTTGATTATAAACTTTTAACGAATCAATTTTTTTTCGGATAGGAATATATTCGTGTGAAGATTATGTTAGCTGAAAATTCTTGAAAAATTTCAAACAATGAAAAAATTGGATTTTAAAGATAAATATTGAACTCTCTCAACATGGAATTTTTTGAATTCTACCATATTTGCTAGATTTTCTAACTATTCCTTGTCTTTCTCAACTGATCTTTTAAAAAATATATAAATCATTCATTTATCATTGAAATGATAACGTTCACTATGAAATTATTTTCACTTTTGTTGTCAAATAATTCAAACAAAACTATTTACTTTTCGATCGAAAAATGGTAAAAATTCATCGTTTTCATTCAATTGTTTAACCATTTTTCTATGTTGATGTACCAATGTTCGAAATTTTGTGCTGATCTCTCTTGTTGTTGAATTAGTAGCCGGCGAACTTTTATTAGAGCTTTCATGATCATCATTGGAATGTTTTTCAATTGAATGGCTTGTTTCATCTAATCGTTCACCTAAAGCTGTTGGCGATGGTGCACGGTGTTTAGATTCTAGAATTCTATGATTATACTCACGACTATTATTAGCTAGCGATCTTCTGTGTTTTCTCAATGGCGATAAGCCACTAACCGATGCCGATGTTGACGAAGTTCTTCGATCAATAATACCGGCTACACCTGAACGTGTCACTAATGTTTGAATATTGGCATCGATTTCATCAGCAAGATTAACACGGTAGTTTAATAAACGAAGAAATATATTTGTTCGTACCATGCCAACATTATCGAGATCAAATTTTAACCATAATTTTTGAAATTCCTTTTCATTATCAGTAATATCATCTAATTTAAAGTTTTCTAAAATTGTTTTTAAATGATCACGCATAATAACACCATCATTTAAACAGTCGTATGGTATATAATCATTAGGCGAAAATGACCTGAAGATAAAATACAGATTTTCCGAAATATTTTTTAAAATGAAAAGTGAAGATCCTTACGGGTCACGGCATCTTGTTTTCATTAATGAAAAACAATAATTAGCAGTAAGTTTGGGTAGATTATTTTTATTAGATAGCTGTTGAAAAGAAGTGACATTCTGACTTAAAGTGAGTAACGAAGAAGTACGATGATCTATTTGATATAATGTTAATTCACGTTTAACTTTCTATAAAACATTATGAAATCATTTGGCATTATTTTTAAATTTAAATTTCTAACCTCGTTTTCAGGAAAATAAGATAGGAATTCTTGAAATGTTATTGTATCATCACGTTCATTGATATGAAACCTAAATTTTGATCATTATGATAAAATTAAGTTAACACCTACGTACGAATAATATTCGACTTACATTTTACATACTTTCTCCCACTCGTCAACATTTATATAACCACACAGCTGCATTAGTACTCGTCGAAATGCTTCTCTAAAATATCATCGATAAAATAGCAAAGGATTTCAGTCGGAAATCTTTTTTATACTTGGATAATTTTCCTTCTTGGTTATGATCATTCGAACGAAACATATGGCGTACTCCATGAACACCTGTTTGTAATTTTCGATCGATCAAATGAAAGATCTTCAAATGAAATAAATCGAGTTTATATCAGTCGATAAACAGACAAGGATTATTACTTCATTGGATTTGGCTGAACGAACTTGTGTCGAAGCTTGACGTCGATCGTATTGTTTTTCTAGATGAGATCGATTTTTGATTCTTGAAAAACAAAACGAAAATAATTATTCATACCGCCAGAAAATGCTGCGGATCTGCCGGGTAATTCATGAGAATAGGTAGGTCTTGTTTGATTTTTTCGAGTAATTTGCTCATCCATCGTTGTTCGTTCACGACGTAGCGGAGGAATACTTTGCTGAGGGTGCATTGCTCGTCGAAACTTTTCTTGGCACATATCACCAACAGAAAAAGAAGCAGATAAGGCAGCTGCCATTTATATAGGACCAAAGATCAAATCAACTTTTTACTTCTTAAATGAAATAAATACAATATTTGTCAATGTGTCGTAAAATGAACTAGAAATCGCCTGTTTTGAAAGAAATCATTAAAAGCAAATATCTCTTGTCGTAAATGTATTGTTTTCTCTTTTGTTTCCATGGCAAGGTAAAAAGAAAAAGAAATCGATAATGTCACATAGTCAAACATGTTCGTATGAGATGAACAGAGTTTTATTCGTTCTGATATTATGAATACAATAGTTATTGGCAAAAATTTGAAGAATAATTTGTTACGTAAATGATGATCATCGTTCTCATGAGAACAACAAGTGAACTGAAATTTCTTTGCAGTTGTGAATGTCGATGGATCAGTAACAGAACCTAGGAAATCAGCAATATTCATGTTTGTCATTTTGACATTAACCTTCGAACAAAGATTGAATTTCCAATATTTTATTTTCATCAAATATATGGTTTCCATTAAATAGTAAAACTTGAGGTATTTATCCTACTAGTTTTATTGATTAACGATTGTATAAATAATTGATTGTATGCAAAGAAATTATATACAGTTGATCAATATCATACCACAGATTTTTCCATAAATCCAAATTTTCCTACCTCATAACGTAAATTCCGAAGTGTTCAGCCTTCTGACATATTAAATATGCAGCGTATGATCATTAGAAAATGTTTTCCAGAAAAAACAATCACCCTACGGGACTTTTTGCTTGGAAACAATTTACACATAGAAACAAATTTTACGCTTCACAAAATTCTAATCAATTGAATTTTTAATATTGTACTATTTTTAAAGAAAAATCACTATCATATTCTTGTAAGAAGAAAATTCAACTCATTAGTAAAAATACCGAAGTTTTTTTAAATTAAAAGTAAATGTAAACAGTTATCAATTAAATATCAATGTGTCGCTTTATCAAAGATTCAATTAAGTATCAGCACATTGTTACCTAGGAAAATCCTTTATAATGAAACGCTCTTTTTTTTCAATCAATAATAATTTATTCTCTCCACAGAAGATGTCGAGCTGTGTTGAAAATGTGTAAAATAAATCGACCAATAATAAAATTTCTTTTCTAGCGCTACGAGACTCATCTGTTTCAGTTTGCCTGTAGCGCTCAAAAAAAAGGCGAACGACGGTAGGTTGATCGCACTCTATTTCTCTTCATACGATTTATTTTATTTGCATATTAAAAAACATTTAACCGATTCTAATTCTATTTGATTCACATTTATTTTAGATGGATTCTCCATCATCACCACTAGTATTATATCTAGGCGACGATGATGATGATGACAATGATAATAATTATAATTATCATAGACAAAATTCGCATGTTGAGTCAAACATGTCTTTATCTAAAGTATCATCTTCTAGTGATATGAATAATCGACGTAAAAAACGAAAATTAACAAACACAAATGTTCGTATTGATCCATCGGTTGCCAATTGGTCAAAACGTCAGCGCAATGATCATTGCCAACAACAGCAATCATCACGAAACTTTATTGATGCTGATTCTGATCCTGAACCGATTTTACTTGATCCAGATGAATATATTATTGAAGAACCTGATCCACCTCAGTTCTGTTCTTTCGATTGGACAATAGAACAACAGCCACAACCAAAACCAAAACCACAGACACAAATCCAGTCAAGACCACGACCACTACCTCCATTACTACCTTCACATTCGATTCAAGCAACAAGAATCTCAACTATGTGCAATTCAGCACAGCGTTCGTTTGCTAAACCAGATAGCGTTCCAATCGCAACCTCAATTAATCATTTTGTTCAGCAACCAAGAAAAACGATTGCTACTCCTGTAACAAAACCATCCCAAACGCTTTCATCATTGTCTCTACCTAAACCAACAACATCGTTTTGTCGACCAAACGTTCAACGTGGTCGACCGGTTAAGAATTCTCGAATTTCTTATACAAACTCTGTAAGTTTACGCCTTTTTTCTTTGACTCAACGTTGTATACAAGATACGTGTCATAGGATAATCCCATCATGCATATTTACCTTGAAGACGTGCCGTTGCCTATTCATATAAAATATGAATCGATCAATCAAACATAAACATTCTAATCAGTGTTTTTTTCATGTCAAAATAGGATTTTATCTTGTTTGAACTCAATTAAGGTTTTTGAGACCCCCAAAAATCTAACTATTGCCAAATATTAATTAGTCAAAATTAAAATAAACATGTTTTCGAATGAGTAGTTTTTAATGAATAAGAAAAGAAGCAGTCACAATTATTTCTCTGAAACGATGAGTAGTAAAATTATCTAAAATATTTTTCGTAAAAACCGATGACGAATTGAGACGAACATATATTAAAGTCAATTCGACGACTAATTCCTAGTTTCGAATTTCGCAAAAAAAATATAAAAACTCCCAAAAAAGAAACACAACAAATTTATAATGATTGCTCTATCTTTAATTCATATTTAGACGTCACCTTCACTACCGATACATCGGCCAACAGAAAAAACATTAATGTCACCACCACAAAAACCTTCACAACCATCATCATCATCATCATCATCATTATCATCACCACCCTCCTCTACAAATACAATAATAACTAGTTCGTCAATAAATGATTCTACGCCAGCTGCACGTCGACAAATACTCAATGGTACAGGTCTATTTTCAGCATTTCACGATTCTAAATACTATCAATGTAATATATGTAAATTTAAAAGTGTAACAAGGTAAATTTTAATTTCACAAATATTCGAACGATGTTTATTTTTTGTTTAATTTTTAAGTTCAACTCTACTACAACATTTGTTTACACATATGTTTTTCTGTGATCAATGTCCATTTTATACATATTCACACGTTAATCTTTCTCAACATATGTTTGAAAAACATATTTGTAATTTAAATGAAAATGCAAACGATTTCGAAAACCCGAAATCGTTCGATCTACTTTATGTAACACGTTGTTCCGATGGGACATTCGCTTTATGCATGGATTCATCGTCGCGTAAAGGATCTACTAATGATCCACGACTTATTATATCATCAGCTACGCCGAGTAATCAACAACAAAATAAGCCAGCAAAGAAAAAAAATTCTAAACAAAAAGAATCATCAAATGAAGATGAAAATGATGCGGCCGTTGTATTGGGAAAATCTCACACAGATCATCGACTATTAAAACACTCGAAAGGAAAAGGAAAACAAAATCAAACGTATGTTTTAATGAAACATCGAAGATGCTATTTAATGAAAAGAAATTCTCGCTTGCATTCATTAACATTAGAATATAACATATGTCGAGAGCATACCATTCGACAAATGTGTCTCACACAAAATATATTGAAACAAAGAAAATTTTTAGCAAAATTTCATAGCACACGATTTATTGATGATATTACAATTTGCTTACGAACAATTGTTAATCAAATTGTTAATAGTGAAGAAAACAGGTTAGAATTAGCAGAAAAAGGATATTATAGTTCGTCTATAGACACGTACACTTTGAAGAAATTAAAAATTTTCAAACTTAAGTCCAAATTAAATTTTCGACAGGAAAATTAAATTTCAAGGACTATTTGTTAGAAGTATTTAATTACCTCAGTTTATTCTCTGAAGTTAAAAAGTACCCGTATGACAAAGCAAAACAACTTCAAGGACAAAAAACAAGTGGAGAGTGCATATATGTGAGCTAGCAGAAGCACGCCCTATATCGAATGATGATAAATATGTCATGGTCATTAGAGCGTATGCATATCAAAATATCGTTGTAATGAAAATTTTGTTATATACAGAGAACAGAGTGATAAAGAACTCGTCAAGGATATAGTTTTGATAACCACATACCATTTAGTGTCAAACAAAAAAAAAACTTAGATAAAAAAAATCGACAAACCCTTGACCATGAAAATGTGCAGTTCGATGATACTTATCGTTTTTGTAAAGCGTACGAATAATATCTATAGCAGAGAAACACTTGTAAAAAAAGTAGCATGGTTTTCCAGTTCTCGAATAGACAAGATCCTTTCGATGATTGCAATTTTGTTTGTATATCTTATTTGAAAGGCAATACGTTCGCCTCGTAGTCTATAGAAATCTCTATCGAGTAGAATTGGCCAATTTATTTATGAAAATAATAGCTGAATCATTTAATTTTAGTGATCAATCTTCTCCAATATGTACATTACCAAATAATATTCTCAGTTCTATATTATCATCTGAGAATTTAAAAACTGTAACTGATTCATTGAAATTAACTAACAAACATGAACAATATAGAGAACAAAACGAGTTGTACGAGAAGGAGCATGATTTACATGAAAGTCGTAAACATATTTTTATAATATCATCCCCGGAAAGAAATAGTAATGATCAATCAATAATATCTTCGTTACATTCGTCTTTAACAAATGGCGATTCAATTTTTACACAAACTAAAATTGATAAATCATCGATTCGTTATGATAATACTCTTCGATTTTTAAAAGGAAATTCTAGTAAGTTAACAATTTTTATAAAACACCAAAGTTCTACATTTATATATTAGATACAGCATCATCACAATCGAATAATTCCACTATGATGAAGGTTCAAAAAAAGCAGCCTACAACAACTCAAGTAGCACCTCCAAGTAATGAATAAAATATACGTTTAACTATTTCGTAATCATAAAATATCCATTTTTGTTCCAGAACTAATTCCACTTCGTCCTGTTATTCCAAAACCTTCAAGTATTACACCAAACCGCCCTTTAGTACCACCCATCATCGATAGAAATAACAATTCGGTGACGTCCTTAAAACCGAAAATATCAACAACAAAAAATTCGAGTGTCATTGTTCTTGATTGATGTGCATCTACTTTACTTTTATTTCATTTTCATTTTTTCAAACATGACTTTTCCTCGTGCGCTCTCTTTCTCTTTTGTGTTTAGCTTATTTTAATACATATGTATGTATTGAAGTATTTTAACATGCAAACTGTTTTGCTCAACAAAACAAAATCGATAGGTGATTAAACAGAAAAAATGAAATCGATTCTATTAGAAACACGTCCTTTTTTGTCTGAAATGTTTTTTTTTCATTTGTATTTATAAATAATATAATAGCTAACATGAACTCAAAAAATCGAGCAAATACATTTTATTTAAAAGATTGCAACAGAGAATAAATAAAAGCAGTTTACTACCCGAATAATTTATTTAATCAAGCAAAATTAAACAAAGTTTGAATCGATTAGTAAACGTGTGCATTTGGTTCTGTACAGAAAAATACACTATTTGTATACTGACGATTGATACGTACAGTCGTTCTTTTCTTTCAGGAGATCATCCGAACTAATCGAAAAATTAAAATAATGCACCGAGAGAAACCGGAGCAATAATATTATTTTTCTATATCGTACTACTTTAGAGTTTGTCAACAATCAGCGAAGTGATAAAAATTTGATTCAAATAAAATATCCATAATCAATAGTAACTCGTACTTTTGGTCATTTTTTTCAGTTCGATTGAGTCAAGTATGCAAAACAAATGAGGGCAGAGTTCTGCATAAAAAATACGATCATTTCTGACAGGTTAAGAGGCCGCACGCATCTGCGCTACAATTATTTTATATTTACAATATGAATTCTATTTTACGTGCAATTATATAACTCTTACGTTAACAATATTCTCATACAAAATTAGTTTCCCAATGAATGGTTCTGCTTTTTAATTCTCACAATTCATTATACAGTACAATTTGAATAGATTACGATAGAATGGCCCTTATAAGAATACAAATTTTGTTTTTTCGGTTGAATACACTAAATGGTCAAGTATTCGCATAATTATATGGTTCTTTTGCCCTAATTGTTATTTGCTTAGTATTATTTCTTGAGGCAATATGCAAAGTGAATCGAAATCGAGGCATAAAGAATATCAATTTAGCTCGCGTCCAATCGAGTGGTATCAGTAAATATTTGAAAAAAAAATGTATGGCCTGATTTTTGCTGCAAAGTGATAGGTTACAAGCGATTAATAGTAAGAACGAAAAGTTTAATCCATTCTCATGCCCACCCTTGAACTTGATAATATGTACAATGCACTTAATCTGATTTAAATATCCCTCTCTCTCTATGTCTCTCTCTGCATGTATAAATACACACGATTTCTTTTAGAATTGCAACTTAGGCATCAGTCGCAATCATTCTCGTGTTCGAAACAATGTAAGTGTATGAAAATTAAGCTGTAGGCTCTATTCTAGCGACCACCGATTTTTCTATAGCTGCTTTTAATTATTTTCATTCTTTTTAGTCTAAAACAAAACAATAATGCCGGCCAACTGTCATGTAACGCCACAAAATGCTAAAGCTCCAGCTATTGTTGAAGTAAATACACTTAGCGAAGACGACCAAGCTATAAATCCAGCTGATCATTATGGTAATGTTTTTTAATATTTCCGTTGCTGTTTTTCTCTGATCGTATATTTTTCAGGTGTAACACCAGATTATTCCATTCAAGTTAATGGTCGAAATACGATCTATTCGAATGAATACATTGAAAGTAAATACATGTATGAAATGAACCACTGCGATGTTGATCATCAAGCAAAAGAAGTGAAAATTACTCCACGAAAATATCAATATAATTTTCGTACAAAACGTCAAGTACAACGTACAGGTGTTATGCTTGTTGGTTGGGGTGGTAACAATGGTTCAACAGTGACTGGTGCTATCATTGCTAATCGAGACAAAATCACATGGATGCGTAAAGGTAAACAAAACAAAAACCTCGTTTGTCAATTCTTATTTACATATGAAAATAGAAATGACACATAGAGATCAAAAATAGGTTTTAACTATAAATCTTGTCAAATTTCATGATTAACTTATTGTTTAGAGGGCGAACAGTTTCCAAATTATTATGGATCGTTAACTCAATCCACCACGATTCGACTTGGTAGTAATACGGAAGGTAAAGAAATTCATATTCCATTCAATACAATATTACCGATGTTGCATCCAAATGATATTGTTATTGGTGGTTGGGATATCAATCGAGCAAATATAGGCGAAGCTATGGAACGTGCATGTGTATTTGATTATGCGTTACAAGAAAAATTGAAACCAAAATTAAGTAAATTAAAACCGTTGCCATCAATTTATTATCCTGATTTTATTGCTGCCAATCAAGAAGATCGTGCCAATAATTTAATTCCAAAAGGAACTAAACAACAAGATTTAGAACATTTACGAAATGATATTCGTACATTTAAACGAAATAATAACTTAGAAAAAGTTATTGTTCTATGGACCGCTAATACTGAACGTTATACTGATGGTAGAGAAAACAGAAAGAAAAAGAAATTTTCCTCAACGTCTCTAATGTCTTTTCTTTTTTAAATATTTAGTTCGTCCAGGTTTAAATACAACAAAAGAAGAAGTTCTTCAATCGATCGCCGATAACGACGATGAAATTAGTCCGTCAAATATTTTTGCTTGTGCAGCTATTTTAGAAAATTGCCCATATATAAATGGTAGTCCACAGAATACATTAGTACCAGGAATAATTGAGCTTGCTGAAAAACATAATGTTTTTATTGGCGGTGATGATTTTAAAAGTGGCCAAACAAAATTAAAATCAGTTCTTGCTGATTTTCTTGTTTCGGCTGGTTTAAAACTTGAATCAATTGTTTCGTATAATCATCTAGGAAATAATGACGGTAAAAATTTAAGTGCACCACAACAATTTCGTTCGAAAGAAATCAGTAAATCAAATGTTGTTGACGATATGGTCGGAGCCAACCATTTGCTCTATGATAAAAAAACAAATGAACATCCAGATCATGTTGTGGTTATCAAATATGTACCATTTGTTAAAGGTAAAAATATTGTTTTACAGCTTTTGAAAACAACAAAGTTCGTTGCCTGTATTTTTCTAGATTCAAAACGAGCTATGGATGAATACATATCATCGATATTTATGAATGGTATCAATACAATCGCCATTCATAATACATGCGAAGATTCACTTTTAGCGTCACCATTAATTATTGATTTAGTTATTTTAACTGAATTAATGACACGTATTACTTATAGTACAAATGACAATGAAGAATATCAAACATTTGAAGCAGTTCTATCAATACTTTCTTATCTTCTTAAAGCTCCATTGGTTCCATCTGGTACGCCAGTGATCAATGCACTCTTTAAACAACATCGGTGCATCACAAATATTTTTTCGGCATGCGCTGGTATTGCAATGGATACCGATATGTTACTTGAGCATAAAACAAAATTACCCAAACCAATGAAAGTTCAACTCTAATCAAATCTCGACTTTTTTCTTTCTCTTTTTCATTAGTACATTTAAGCATGTCTTAGTTATAATATTCATTTAGAATAAAAACATTCTCTTTTTCTTCTAAAGGTATATAATCAATTTCTATGTTATTCTCAAGCTATTCATTAACACAGAGTGCATTTGAAGGAAATTTTTCTTTTGTTCGATTTTATTCAATATCGAATAGAAGTCAGTTATTAGTAGGAGTGGTAAAAGAGAACATGATAAAAGCCCATTTCAATATATTGTACTTCGAATATTCAAGGAAAAGCGACGAGGAAGCGGGGGGGGGGGGGGGGGGGGCGGGTTGGATT